TTGTTTTAATAGAGTGGCACAAAGGCTTAATTAGAGGCTCAATCAAAGGCTCAATCAGGGGTTCACTCAAAGGCTCAATCAGGGGTTCACTCAAAGGCTCAATCAGAGGCTCAGAGGTTCAATTAGAGGCTCAAAGAATAATAGAGGCTTTAAGAAATTAAAGAATATGGTAGCTCAAAGAACCTAGGCTCAGAATAACTTCTCGTGGAAGTTCAGATTCCCTTGGCTAAATTCACCGAAAGTCCAAAGCCCTATTGCCTCGATGCCCATTTCTTTGGATATAAAAGCAGAATACAGGATCCATAATTACGTCGTGAACAAGGAAAGTATAGTGTAGAACCATGAACCTCCCACAATCTCGAAAGTTTGTTGGTTAAATATGAACTCTTAAGTCAATTCAATGTCAATGGTAGCGATGTTGGTCATTCTGATTGTAATAAATCTTTTTTGTAAATTCTCATCTATTTTTTTTGTTACTCGATTAATATTTTCAGGTAAACACAAGAAATGTTCATAAACACAATATTGTCCCGAAACACGGTTTCCAATTTTTTCCACAATTGTAAAACAAATTGGTGGCGCTCAACATGCAATTATCTTTTGTTTGGCCCTTTTGGCACTCATCTTGTTAACTTGTTGTTCACGTAACTTTTTGAACAGGTCTAAGCCCGCGATTAGGTCCAATATAAAATAAATACGTAATAACAGTTAAAAAAAAGTATCAGGTTAGGATTCACTCGGTATAAACCGAGAATACCGATCAAGGAGAAGCGACACCTTGGAGTTTTCAGTGTACCGTTTTGAAACGCGCATGTGCGAAAATAGGTTGTGTATCACTCAAAATGATGTTATCTATCAAAGTCAGTCCAAGTTGTGTTTAGTACGTGAGCAATGTTAAGTGATATTTTTTGGTGTTTGTTTTGTGTGGTAATAAGATGAAAGTTTTTACACACTTAGGTATTCTAATACAAATATAAAATGTACCAAAAAAGTTATTAGGAAACTAAGAATTTTATCACATGCATAAATATTAAGTATAATGATTTAATCATTTTTGACATGTTATTTTTCATATGTAGGTATTGGATTTTGTGAAATATATGTTTGTCTTCTTTTAAATAAATTTAATAAACAATGAACTGCAGATTTTGTTTATTTTATTTTGAAATTATATTTTAAAAAATATAATAAATCCGCGTGTTTCAATTAGGATTGGTCAAAGTGGGCGAAATCCCTTTATTATGGCTAAATTGTAAGTTAAATTTATGTTAATATAAAGATGTTTTGCCCATTCATATTTACATTTATTGAATGAATCATACTGGAGTTGATTTTGGAAATATTGGTGCATACTTAAATAAGTGCTATTTCTAAAAATTCGTCTATGCCCAGACAGCACACATAATCCAATGGACGTCCACTTTAGATCTATTTGAGGGTCAGGACGTCCGTATCCGGATATTCAGTGTACGTCCGTTTATGCTAATTAAATTGACAGCTGAATATCGATACCCAGAGAACGTCTGTTTTTGGACTTAATTTTAAGTTTAGTAGTATTTTGACGTCCAGTGGACGTCCATCTTAGGTCATTATTTATTAAGCCTACCAGATAATACCCATCTATATATACTTCTTTTTTTAAAAATTGACAAATTGAATCTATTGCATTTCATTCTCAGCGGAATTTTGAAATCTTATTCAATTATAACTGTATCTAGTAAAAAGTTTTCAAGTGGTTCCTTGGTCGAGCTCGTCTAGCGATTGAGAGCGTAAAACGATAATGGATGTGTCGTGAATTCGATTCTTGCTCAGGTCAAGCGATTTTTAATAAAAAAAAATAAATGGTGTATAGCTGTTTGCGAAAATAATAAACAAATTATTAATAATATAAAATAGTGTGTGGTGAGTTGCGGTTCTTTAAAAAAAGTGGGGACGTGGTCTCAATGGTCTCCTGGACGTTTTTTGAATAACCAGTATTCGAAGTCCAAATATATTCCAGAATTGGACGTCCTCTGAATGATTAAAAGTGTGTCGGAAGTCCAGAAAAAACTCATTTTTGGACGTCTAGACATCCAAAATTGTATATCGAATGGACGTCCAATGGACATATTTGTATTGTCTGGGTGATAGCCAGGCCAGATATTTAACTAAATGATATCTGGCTTAACTTGGCGAGAAAACACTTGTTTCTACAGAAATGAGTGATAAACTTGAAAGTCCTTTTAATATAATATAAATGTAGAAATTCTAAAAATATGTAAGTACTTTTTAAACTTAAAAGCTTTGAAAATATAAGCACATTGCAAATATTTAGTTAAACCTCTCAAACTTAATGTCTTTTTAATTGTTACCTAAATTTTTTTGGCACCCTTAATTTTATTTACCTTATTTTTAGTTAAGGAAAAGGTAATTTAATTTAAATATGGGGCTTTTATTACATTTTTACTTTCCTATCTGTATACAGATAAGGAAAGTATAGGAATCATGATTTTTTTCGTGCGTGCGTGCGTGCGTGCGTGCGTGCGTGCGTGTGTGTGTGTGTGTGTGTGTGTGTGTGTTCCACCATAACTCATGAACCGATACAAAGAAAAACACCAAATTTTAAACTTTAGCTTTATTCCAGCCTGCGATGAACTGATTAGATTTTGGGAAGAGTCTTAACATTTGAGGGGTACTTTATTGGTAGTCATTTTTATATTTTATGAAATATATCCGTTATTTACGTTTGGAGAAGAAAATTCTTCAAATAAAAGTTACTTATATTATTATCTATAATTTTTATCCCATACATAATTTCTCTAAAATGGACCGTATTCAAGATATTTGAGAAAATGTGTAAATTTCGAATTTTGAAGAAAACTCAAAAACGGGTAAAGGAAAAAACGTTAAATTATAAACTTAAGTTTTATTTCGGCCTGAGGTAAAATGATAAGATTTTGGACGAAGGCGGAAAGTTTGGGGGGGGGGGTACTTTATGGGAGGCCGTTTTTATATTTTATGGAATACATCTGTTATTGATGTTTGGAGAAGAAAATTGTTCAGATAAAAATTACTTACAATATTATTATCTATAATTTTGGTTTTATACATTTTTTTTTAAATGGTCCGTATTCAAGAAATTTGACAAAATGTAATAAAATTCAAATTTTTAGGAAAATTGTTTAAATAAAAGTTATTTGTGATATCGATCTCTATAATTTTTGTTTTTTATATGATTTTTCTAAAATGGGCCATATTGGAAAAATTGAAGGAAAAGTGCTAAATTTAAATTTTTCAGTATTTTCGTTTTCAATGAATATCTATAGAAAAATGTTTCGAGTTAGATGTATGTGGAAAATGTATATATGTAGTTTATCCTCTAAACATTTATAGAGGTGCTGCAATAGGTTGTACAAAATAACCGGAAAAAGCCTATAATAACTAGATAGGAAAGTCATGTGTTGGACACAGATTTTTAACAATAAATAAACCAAATATTAAATAAATTTTATAGATAAATTATAAAATAATAAACGTCTTTTACTTTTATAACGAATAATTAATTATTACATAATGAATTATATTTTGGTGCCGAAATTTCACCATTGCTATTAACCCTAACTACTTCAATGTAATTAAATCACATTGCAACATTTGCGCATGGACTATAACAATAATTTCAGAGAATTTGCCAAACTATTTCGTTCAGTGTAGAAAATAAGCATGTTTTCTCAGCGTGCTAAGTAGTGTATTAATCAAAGTCATGCTGTGAAAAAGGTACATCCGGTATCAAAGGCACCGACAGCTACTGTCGCGTCTCCTTGATCGGTTTTCTCGGGTATAAACATATGTAAATATTATATTTATTATTATTATTATTATTATTATTATTATTATTAGTTTAGGCGTAAAACGATTTTTTAAACATGTAATTTTCTATTTAAATTTAAAAAATTACTCGCCCTGTACATTTGTTTTCCAATATGGTTAGTACCGTATTTTGGTAGTCACAATTAATATCCAAACGTTTAATATTTATATATACAGGGTGAGTCGGGAGGAGCGCACCAAACTCTAGGAGTATATTATACACGTGAAAATAATGTGAAAAAACTCATATGTTCTCATTCGATTTTCATTTGTTTTCAAGTTATAGCATATTAACAAATAAACAAATTTACACATAAAAATTCTCTTAATCATAGCGTTCTTTCAATAAATGTTCAAAAATACCGCCATTGACACTAACAATCACATAAATTCGAAATTAAACGTTCTACTGTTCACTGTACACTGACAGTTCATCAAAACGTCAGAATTATCAAATGCCTTTGAGCCTTGAACATATGACATACTTTGATAATGTTAAAATTCAGAAGTGGAAAGCTAGATGAACATTTTTAATTACGCCATAACTTGAAAACAAATGAAAATCGGATAAGAACATATGAGTTTTTTACATTATTTTCACGTGTATAATATACTCCTAGAGTTTGGTGCGCTCCTCCCGGCTCATCATCAATATTAAAGTGATACCTTAAAATATTTTTGAAAATTATGAGAATTCATAAGTTCAATACCGTGTATCTCGAAAACTAGTCATAGGGGAACTTTGTGCACATATACATTTTTATTAATTGGGATGTCAAAAACTGCAACATATATAAAATTCCGCAAATTCGATTGAAAGCCATTTGTCATAAGGAAACAATTATATCACTAGTACAACGTCGCACTATTGCAGATTGTACTTTGGAACATTTACTTTATAATTTAGTAGCAACAGCCTTCATTCGAAATACACTCGAACACACAACGATTGAAAATAGAAGAAAATTGTGCTTATACAAAAATTTACACGAAACAAGAAAACCGCAAGTTTTAAAGAGATGTTACGGATTTAAAAGTACGAGAAATGTGTTCAGAACTGTTGAAACTATACAAAAATGAAATTAGTCACGTCTAAACTAAAACCAATTAATAAATGGAGAAATATAAATGAAAATAGAAAGTGAACTTACAGTTTTCAACGTTGGTTGTTCAGGCCACTCATCCAGAAGCTCGTTAATTTTGATTTTTAATTCTTCCAAAATGTGCCAGCATGATTTAACTTCTTCTACGTTAGAATCCTTATAGAAGTCGTTAGATTTTTTTCCAGATGATATATGTTCACCTAAAATTTTAAATGCAAATGTTTCAAAAGGAACTATTCCATTTAATTCGCGAGAAACTTACAGCCGTATGCATAGTCGATCGCCAGCGACTCGCCAGAGATTCATTTCGGCGTATCGCCAGCGATTCGCTGGCGAAAGCCCAAAATGGTGGCGACTCGCCGGAGATTGTCACCGGAATGTCATTTCACGCAAGTTTTCATTTTCTTTTATAAGGATTATCGCCGGAATCTCTCGCATTTTATTAATGATTCATTTCTTAAAACTCAAAAAATAATGAACGAATATCAAATTTTTCCCTATAAAAGAACATGAAAACTTGCGTGAAATGACATTCCGGTGACAATCTCCGGCGAGTCGCCAGCTTTTTGGGCTTTCGCCGGCGGATGGCCAGCGAATCGCTGGCGGATCGCCAGCGAATCGCTGGCGATACGCCGAAATGAATCTCTGGCGAGTCGCTGGCGATCGACTATGCATACGGCTGTAATATTTCAAAAAAAATGTTTGGAAAAAGTGTCATACTTACTCAAATAATCTACGTTTCCATATTTTTTCTTTACAGCCAATAATATATTTAAACCATTAATCGCTTCTTCATCGATTTTGTAGGTAAATGCATCGACCGTTTTATTTAAAATCTTCGAAAACGTTTCAAATTTGTCCATCAGTGGCCGAATAAAATCGGGAGCGATTGATTTATTTTTTACCGGATTTAACCATTCGCATTTTGTGAAATTTTTAAGCAAAACAGTATGAAGAACTATAATATCTTCCAGATCTTTGTTGGTAATTACTTCTTCATAATTAATTTCGACTTCTTTTTCGATTGAATCGTCTGTTTCCAGAGTATGTTGGAAGTCAGCGAAATCTATCGTGTGGTAATTCGGAAACAATTTTTGCATGTCCTCTTTAATCTGTTCTTCTTCCGATTTTTCATCGCATTTTGTCCTAAACAAAAATATGTATAATTAAGTAGTAACAATCTCAGATTCTTTCTCTGAAAGCTCATGCTATATTAGTTTGCGGGATCAACTTACTTTATTTTATATAAACTATCAGCTTCTTCCTTCTGTTTTTCTTTTTGTTCTTGTTGTTTATTATAAGAAAAGACAAATTGATTGATGAGACTATTAAATATCTCAAAATCTGATGTGTGTAAAATATCGTTTATCTGAGAGTTTACAACAGCATTATTAAAACTTTCTTGAATGGCGGTTTTTAGCATCCTAAAAGAAAGTTTTAAATTAATTCATAAAAACATACATACACACTTATACAATTCTCCTCGAAGAAATGAATTATTTGATAAGTTTAACCGACAATATTTTTTTAAATTTGTATATGAAGAAAAGTCCTTTGAACCTCACAAAGTTACGTATTTTTTCAAAATTGCGAACTTTTCGAAATTATATTACTATCATCTGGGACACCTAGTCATCGTACGAACGATGACCTAGTGGAGAAAGAATATGTGAACTATACTAAAAAAATTAGAAACAAGGTTATGGAGAAAATTTCTGGCATCACTAGAAAACCAATTAAAATCGTTCATTTTCAGTCACGTGTATCAGCCTATCCAATCAGCTTTGACTTAAACTGATAAGTGCAAGTTTGCTCCAAACAAACCATTATTTTTTATTCCGCTAAATGAAAAAATTCAAAATTGGACGTTCCGTCTAATAACTATTTTTCCTACGACCACTTAGGAAAGTGACACATATCACACTGTATAGTCCTATGGAAAGTGCCCTATATCACACGCGTATGAATAAGAATTTACTTTCCACCCGAGTGAGAATATGTTACTTTCCGCAGTAGTTGTCACAAAATGTCAAACACCTAATTTCTATTTTGACCTATGTAATGTCCATATTAACACTAAAATCGATATGATTGTTAAATTATTGAAATCGTTGTAAATTAGATCCTAGATATTTATCTTTAACAATTATTATTAAAATAATTTTAAAATAATGTTTGCTCTTTATTCTGGTTAAATACATAACCGATTAGATCATTCAATTGACACAAGGGCTATTAGCTCAGGTGGTTAGGACGTCGAACTTATCAACTTTTCCATTTTTCGACAGCGTTCGAATCCTGCGGGGCAGAATTTTTTTTTTGGTTTTTTTTATTTTTTTTTTAGTTTTTTTTTGTTTAGAAATTATGAAAATTGAATAAATACGATTATTGTTGATTATTTTTTTAAATACATTTCAATTATTATAGTAATAATAACCTTGGTTTTACATTTTTTTGATGACATTATTTTGTGGTCGTAGGAAAAATATTGTACATCACTTATGTGAAAAGTGATTTTCCACTCTCGTGTGATAGTCGCACTCGGCTTGCGCCTCGTGCGACAATATTTCCCACTCGTGTAAAAAATGTCACTTTCCACACTCGTAATGTAATATACTATTAATAATTATTTATTAAAAAGATTCACAATAGAGACAGTAATTTATGACTTTTTTCCCCTTTTCTCATTTCATTATTAGTCAGTATTTAATACAAACGTTAATCCGGTGTACCACATATGTAAACCAGGTTTAATAATATGACATTTCTAAAAAGTCAAACTTTTGACACTTTCAATTTTATTTATTTTTAAATCTCTCGATTTAGTAAAATTAATAATCAAACTATTAATAAGTTAATAGAAGAAAAAACCAATAAATACCATTGAATATAGTATTACCAAATCATTCTAAAAATGAAATAAAATACAGGGTATCAATTTAAAAAAAATATACATTTTTTTTGCCAGACAAAAACGAAAAAATATTTTTAAAATATGTATTTTTTAAATCCATAAAACTCTTATTTGAAACTTATTTGAGTGTCTATAACTATATAATTTTATAAAATTAGAAAATATGTGTTAGGTGCAAATTTAAGACCTTACTTTGATACTAAAGAATTGGGTAGTAAATATGAGAAAAAAAGATTATACCGACTTAAAGAATGTACAGTCAACACTACTTTGGATTGTACAGTCAAGACTTTATGCAATGTACAGTAAAGACTTTATGGACTTTTTATTAAATAAATGAGTTAAAATATTCCAAAATTTTTCACTAGTAATACCACTAGAGGTCAAAAAATTTCCTGATATTAATTTGACCTCGCATGGTATTCGGTAAGAAAATTCCACGCCGAAGTATGGTTGAAAATTAAATATTTTTAAAATTTATTTTTCGTTTCTCAACAATGCAAATTATTTTCTCCAAGTCACCAGTGAAACATAAAAGGTGTTGTCGCCTTGATTGTTGAGTTGTCATGGTAACTAAGTGAGACCCTAACCTCGAATATAATTTCAGTTTTGAAGTTGTCAAGCAGCCCGACGTAAAAAATGTTTCGTTGCAATTATTTAGGCCTTCAAATTGCTTATTTCTACTCATTGTAGTTGCATGGGAATACCATTTAAAAATATAAAATAGTATATTCTTTAATTTTACGTAAGTTTTGAATAATTACAAGTGGTAGAAAATTGTTTTTCTGCATTTTTATTAACATGCGTTATGAGCGCTTTAAAATGGTATGAAATTCATAACCAGCGTCAGCAAGCATCAATCGTAGGAGGCTGTGATCATTGTATTTTGACAGTTCAAAACATTAAATTACTCGCGTTTTGTTGCGATAAAGAATATTGCACAGCAAGTAAAACCAACAAAATTACCTATTTGTTTAAAAATGAATCGATTTGAAAATCATACGCTATGCAAAATATGCGTGAAATTGTCTGATGTAATGATCAATCATTGCACCATGACTTACTTACTCGGATTAATAGAGGATTGTGGCTCCAACTTGAAAAACGAAAATTTGTTCCGAATTGTCCTCGAATATTTGCACCTAAACTACGCAAAATTCAAAGTGCTGAATGGGAAAAAGGTGAATAAATTAGTGTCTAAATATTATATATATTTTATTAGACATAGACACATAATTCAAAGCATCCAAAGTCCTGCATTTTCGCCATTAAGAAGAAAAGAAGTGGCCGAAGAATATAGAAAACACCTTAGCATTGTAACTAAAATGTATCAAAACTAAACCTATTATGTGAACAAATAAAAACCAGTCTGTCAAAAATGGTCTGTTATTGTAAACGTCAAAAAATTTCCAGTATAATTCGCTGTTGGGTACCCCACGAGAAAAAAATTTCCACTAAAATACCTCCGTTGCCATGGTGATCTGTCAAAAACACGTATTTTGATTTCAAAATTACAGGTGTGGAATTTTCTGACCAAATACCCCTCGTCCAGTTATAAATACTCATAATTTTTTTTCAAATAACTCAAGCTCGTTTTATAAGTTACCAAACAGCGTGCTTTCGGTAAGTGAAAAAAATAGCTATTTGTATTACTAGGGAGGAAAGTGCCACTTTTCCTCCCGCAGGATGAAGTTTACTGCCCGACGCGAAGCGGACGGCAGTAAACATCCAAGGGAGGAAAAGGCACTTTACTCCCAAGTAATACATATGATTTTTCCGCCTCCCTCAAATAACAAGTCATTAACCTGTTCCAAAATATCCGGTGGTGTATTAATTATATCTTCAAATTCACTTAAATCACTCATTTTTTAAATATTATTTTATATTTTGTAGATATATTATAGCGTAACACACTTTGAAACTGATCTGTCAATCGACCATAGCATGCTATAATATTTCTGTCCTAAATTCGAAAATCGGATGAATCTATGAATTGAAGTCAAATTATTAATGTAAAAATCGTTAAATTAAAATAACAATTTACTGGTTTCTACTATTTTGCAAAATACAGGGTGTTCTATAAATAAACGGTAAAATTTATACTTATATAATAGAATATAGTTTAGGTCGTCAATGCCGTATAAGCTATTTCATTTATGACATACCATGACGAAACTTTTACTTTTTCTCCCTAGGGAGTAAAAGTACTTTTCCTCCCTAGAAAAATAGAATGCTTACATGCTTGTAACAGATTTACACCGGCCATGATTCGAGCTGCCTGTACTAGAAATTTATTGTTAAGGTTTGACAAATGTGTGGAAGTGGCAGGTGGGCAATTTGAGCACTTATTATAAGTTATTACTACTCTTTGTTTGTTGATATTTATTTCTTATCTTCTCCTTCTCTGGTTTCAATGTATTTTTTTAATTATGTGTCACCTAATAAATTATTTTTTATCATCAACTTGACTCAGTTTTATTTAATTTCTCACTTATTTATGGAGCGATTTCAAAATTTTAAAAACAGTTGTACAGAGAAAAGTAGCGACTACAAAAATGAGCAGAAAAAAATTAGGGTGTCGGTAATAATTTTTATTTACAACTATATATGTAATGTTGTCATTACTAACGTCACTGAAGGTTGGGAAGTGTCACATTACACACCTCTACTTCCCGCCCTCACTTCCCGCTCTCACATCCCTCCCTCATTTCACCTATTCTAGATGAATATTTTTTATATTTAAAAAAAAGTAACACATTTTTTTGACAAATTTTATAATACCTATTTAATGGCAAATAATAAAAAACAACAATGAACTAAAATACAACAAACTACTTACTGATATTTATTATTCGCGAATTTAATATCCGGCTTTATCTGACATTTATTTATATTGATGACAGTTGTTTACCCCGTAATCACAGTAACAATATATTTACTTGATTATTCTGAGAAAACCGCCCGCTTGGTAATTTGTCGTTAAATGTAATATTTTAGGCATGTTCAGAACGAAACAGAGATTTATTAACTTTGATCGAAATATGATGGTTGTAAATAAAATAGTATACAAACCTCGGTAGGAAGTTTCATTCCTGTCTCGAGATCATAGCTAACCTCGACGCTTCGCGTCTCGATGATCTAACTAATCTCACGACAGGAATGAAACTCTTCCCATCTCGGTGTGTAATATACTATTCAAGGGGTTCTTCCAGGGGCATAGTTTTTGAGGGTGGGTCGTCAAATGTTTATTTGTTTCAAAGTACACCGCCAACTATAATGGATGACTTTTGTCCGGTTCGATTATCTTGCATGGTTTAGAAGTTATAGCCTGAGAAAAACAATTTGGGATACCCTGTATATATAACTTCGAAATCGGTCGTAATTTCAATTAAATGAATTTCTTGTGAGTTTCAAAACACCTTTTCTCGGACTTCTATTTCCTTCGTCTATAAATTATAAATTATCAATGTTTGAAAGTTATACTCATTTTGATAAAATTTTTAGTAATTTAAGGTATATTCAATGAGTTTGTTTGTAACTTATTTTGGTAACTGACCTGAAATTCTCTTGATCTTTAATAAAAGGCTGTTCAGAATTGTCCAAAACCTGGTTAACAAATTTCTTTACGTCACTGCTGCTCAACAAATTAACATGTTCCCGATAATTTTGGCAAATAGTATTAAGAATTGGGAAACTAATCAAAGCATAGATAATTTTAATTTCACTATCACTTAATTTTTTCTCTACCATAGTTAGATATGACAAATGCAATTTAAATCCATACAAATATTCAGCAATACTGCTCAATAATGGTTCAACAATATCTGGATAACTGTTTCTGAATTGGCTCATTTCATGGATGAGGTTTTCGTAGCTAGCAACTAAAACAAACAAAAAATTAAACCAAATAAGATTGTTCATTAAGGATTTTGTTTAGAATTATTTTATAGTTAAAATTACTTAAAAATACCTTTATTTCTTTGTTGTTCCAAACGATTTTCTTTATATTCGTGAATATCTGGCAGAAAATGTTCACCCATAATGGATGAAAAAGCATGATTAACAACCTAAAAATAATCACACATTATACACATCTTTTATCTAGTTATAGCTTTTTTTATTCCAAAACTTCGAAATGAATAGTTTTTTTTTAAGTTATATAAAGAACGTACATTAACAACGGACTGATTAATCCAAGGGTAAAATATAAGTGCTGTATAACGTAGAAACTTTTAATTTAAGCAATTGGTTGTGATTTAATAGTTTATGTTTGGGAGATTTGGAAAAATTGGAAACTCTTCTAGATAAGAGAATTATAAACCTGCCTCAGGCTAGTAGTAAAATAATGGAGACCGTTCAGAACCTCAATAATATTAAAAAAAAAAAGAAAAAACAAAACCAAATGTATACTGGTGAGCCAAAAAAAAGAATTGAAAGTAAAACTGCTGAAAATTTTACGATAAAAAAGTTATAATCAGCTGACTATCTAGTTTATCTCTATTGGCGTAAATCATTTTTATATTCGTTACACATTTTTTTATTACATTATTAATGTGTTTTTCAAATCGGAGATCGGTATCTAGGAATAAGTTTTTTTGCGATATTTGTATTAGGCATACTGTAATATATTATTAAGATAGCAATAAGACCTGGAAACAAAGCAGAGTTGGCTTTATATTTAAACCGGGGCGTTTAACGTATGCCGTGGCAAAGGCCTATAGACCATTAACTCTGACGTCATTTCTATTGAAAGGATTAAACTGATTGATCAACTCTGATAGAGAGGCCATTTCATACAAACCAACATGCCTATCAATCAGGAAAATCTTGTGAGTCTGCTCTGCATCATCTTGTAACCAAGATAGAGGGAGAACTCAGTAGCCAAGAAATAGTCCTAGGAGCATTTCTTGACATAGAAGGAGCTTTTGATAAAACCTCCTTTAAATCAATGGTAGCTGCTGCTCGCAAACATGGAATAAAAGACACCATCTGCTGGTAGATAGAAGACATGTTATGCGGATGGCAAGTACAGGCACAAATGTTCAGTGAAACCATGCAGGTGAATATCCACAGAGGATGTCCACAGGCTGGAGTCCTTTCTCCTCTATTGTGGAACCTAGTGGCAGATGAACTACTGAAAACACTAAACAATCAAGGGCTGTACTCCCAAGGATATGCCGATGACATAGTCATCCTTATCCGAGGGAAACAATAAACCACAGTCTTTGAACTCATGCAAAGAGCTGTTAGGCTGACAGAAATGTGCTGCGTTAGGGAAAATCTCTTGGTAAACCCTGACAAGGCACAACTCATAACCTTTACTCGGAAAACAAGGTTGGAGGTTTTAGAAACTCCGACTCTGTTTGGAGGAAGGCTAAACAAAACGAACCAAGTAAAATATCTGGGTCTGATCCTAGATAGCAAACTTACTTGGAACCAACACTTACAAAAAGTGACCAACAAATGTAAAATGTCTCTCATTGTAGGGAGACGGGCATTTGGAAAAACATGGGGATTAAAATCAAAAATGGTCCACTGGCTACATTTGGCAATAACAAGACCCATGATAACTTATGGAGCGGTTGTTTGATGGCCAAAAGTAAACCAGAAAATAGCTCTCAATACCCTCTCAGGAGTACAGAGGCTGATATGCCTTTGTATTACAGGAGCACTGAGAAGTACACCGATAGCCTCTATGGAAATCATTCTAAACCTCCCACCCCTTGACCTAGTCATAAAGGGGGAGGCCAGAATGAGTGCATACAAACTGGAAATCTCCAACAACTGGAACCCACTGGGACAAATAAATCATAACAGAATAACACATGAAGTAAATGATTCTATATTAAATATGGGATCAGATCACATGACACCTCTCCTAACCTATAACAAGGGGTACAATAAGCCTAGAGCTTCAGTACAAGTGGGCTTTGAACCACGCCCTAATTCAGATAGAACCTATAACAAACTCTTCCAGGTCAACTGTAACTGGAACGAGGTAAATAAGGAGATAGAAATACTTGCTTAGCGATCTCATATGGTATACGGATGAATCTAAAACTAACAAGGGAACAGGCTCTGGCATACATGGAGTTAAACCCAAATGCGACATCATCGTCTCACTGGGAAAACATGCCACTGTATTTCAGGCTGAAATACATGCAATCGAATTGTGTATACGAGATAATTTAAGAAGGAAGTACAAAAACAAACCATTCTAATTCTCTCAGATAGCCAAGCAGCCTTAAAGGCTCTTGATTCAAACAGAATCAAGTCAAAGCTGGAACTGCCTTGGAATACTAAATGATCTGGCAACCCACAACAAGGTAAAACTAGCGTGGGTACCAGGGCACAAAGGTATCCAAGGAAATGGAAAGGCCGATGAACTCGCCAAAGAGGGATCAGATCTACCATTCACAGGACCCGAAGCTGTATTTGGGATAAGCAAAACCTCTGCTCGACAGGCAGTGAACAGGTGGATAACCACAAAACACCAAATTCACTGGCAACAGATAAGAGGGCACATAATCAGTAAGCTCATGCTAAGGGGACCAAACCCACGCATGGCTACTGAGGCACTACAATTCGCAAGGCCTCAGATATCTACCTTTGTGGGATTACTAACGGGGCACTGCTTGCTGAAAAAACTTCATGTGATGGTATTACACAATGATCCCACTACGTGCAGACTCTGCATGGAAGAGAAAGAAACCTCATACCATGTGATCTTCGAATGCGAAGCTCTTACTAGGCTACGTTTCATCCTTTTCGGCCTAAAACCGGAAAGAACGCCCCAGGAACAATTGGTAGGGAACCTATTAAAACTAACCAAAGACACAGGACTATTCCAAAGATAGTATCTAAATACGGGGAAAGCAGGGGAATACAATAGACCCAAGAGGCCGCAGTATTCTAGGCCAAACCTAATTCTACCTGCTTACAACCGATAAAGATAAAAAGAGTATCATCTGCATATTGGTGAAAATTGCAATACTTTAGTGATTCTGGGAATAAAGATGTATAGATACAAAATATTAAAGGGTCCAGAATAGATCCTTGGGAACCCCATTTTCTATATTTAGTGAAGAAGATAATTTATTTGACATACTGTATTATATTATTAAGATAGCATTAAGACGTTTCGAATCTTCATTAAATCCCAGATGGTGTAATAGCCCCATTAGCATCGCATGATTAATTCTGTCAAAACGCCCTACTATAATCTAATAAGACTAAAACTGTAAGTTGATTTTGGTCAGTAGCTCTAATGATATCGTCAATGACTGAGAGTAGGGCAGTGTTGCAACTGTGATTAGGGCGAAAACCAGATTGATTAATAGGAATAATATGATAATGATCTAGAAAGGTTGTTATTTGATGATAAAGAACTTTTTTCTATAACTTTAGAAGCTGTGCAGAGAATACTAGCAGGCCAAATATCTTTAAATTCATTTGGATTTTTTATTTTGGTCAATGGGATTACTTGCGCAACTTTCCATTGAGATGGAAAAATGGAGGAACTGATGGAACTGTTAATGATGTAAGTTAAATATTTTATTATAAACGGACAACAATAGATTATCAACTCAAGTCCAATGTCATCAGCACCAATAGCTTTAGATTTTATTGACAATAATATTTTATATACTTCATCCTCACTAACTTCATTGAAATGGAACTCACCAAGTCCTTCTTTTTTGCTACTATTAAACTTTTCCAAAATAACTTTGTTGATTTTATGCTGTGACTGAGAAGTTAATAAAAAAATTATTCAACATATCGACGTCAGCTAAAGTATTAGGAATTTCGTTATTTTTATCGTTAGAGAAAATAAGTTTTTTTTATTTCTCTATAAAGTGTTTTAGTTGAAAGGTTATTTTTTAATTTGTAGGCTAGATAAGCTTTTTCTCGTGAGATACAGCTCGGTTAGTAAAGTTTCGTAACTCTTTATATATAATATATCTAGTGAGATTCTTTTTTAGTACGTTTAAAACGACTTAGAGCATTGTCCCTTAATTTAAACATTAATTTTACATTTTCAGTTTTCCAGGGTTTACATTCTTTTTTATATTTACAGAATGCAATGGAGCAAATTTATTATGTTTAATACTAGCGTCTTAAAAATGTCAACTTTTATATTTACATCATTATTACGGTAAATCTGGTTAAAAGTTAAAGATAACAGTTCTTAATAAAATTGTTGAGTATTAACTTTTTTTTATATTACCCAGAGATATAATTTTTTGGAGTTTAATATTATTTTCAATTGTTGCCTTTACAAACCCATGGTCACTTTTAATTCGATCATATAACACGTTACAATCATTAATATTTAATGTATCACTACAAATCATTAAATCTAAAAGAGTGGCAGATGTTTTACTTATTGTAGATTTGTTAACGTGCTGAATAAGACCAAACGAATGAAATTGAGTTATTAAGCAAAAATAACAGAAAAAATAAAAAAAGGACTAAGAAATAATTGGTGAAACATTTGTATTATTTTATTATTTCATGTTGAAAACAAAATTAATAACTAGTCAAAAACCTACTTACCTCGCAAACCGTTTCATACAACACATCTTGTGGCCTATAAGCTACATATTTACTAAGTTCCAGATGTTTTTCTTCTAATTTAGAAATCATCTTCTCTATGGGAACACAATACATATGTCTAGTCTTCTCGTCATAACCGTAAATTTGGTTTAGGTTCTCGTAAGAGATCTTCATTATCTTAAACATATCTTGAGCATCGCAACAGTACCTTCTTTTAATGGTCTTTTTAGCCAGAGGATCAATAATCGAAAGTTTAGAGTGAAATGTAGCTTTGAGATTGGCTACAGCGCGGTATAATTGAGAAATATAATTAATAGCCAGGTCAATTTCGTCGATAGATTTCAGTTCGGTATACAATTGTGCACATTCGAGTAGAGTATCTATCAGCTGTGGTAGTGCACGTGCTGGATCAACGTAAGTAGGTGACCATTGTATGTCCTCCAAGCTTGTCACTATTTTTTCTGTTACTTTTTCATGGGATTCGTACGAATTGGTATTTATTTTTAATGAATTCGCCAACTCTGAGAGGAATTTCTCATATACAATAGCGAAATTTCGTTGTTCGACATATCTAAAATAAATATTACATTTTGATTATTTTAAATTCAAACACTTTGTAATTTAACATTTTTTAGAGGAGAAAGAATAATTGTGGATCAGACAGACCTATATACTGTGAAATATAGTTATAAAGCTAACAATAACATAATAAATTTATGGAAACCATAGACTTCAAAAAGGCGTACGATACAATTAAAAGAGCGGCGTTATAAAAATCATTGACGTACCGTGGTGCATAACTGTATTATTTATTTATTATTAATTATTTATTTATTAAGAGGTATAAAAGAAAAAGGTCCTTTAAATCTCACAAAAATATGTTTTTACTTTCCTATATGAGGAAAGTATAGGAATCATGATTTTTTTCGACCTCGAGTTTTCGACGGATTTTTACGTTTTGAGGTCCCCTGAATCCGTTTTGACTATTTTCGCGATGATGTGTGTGTGTGTGTGTGCGTGCGTGCGTGCGTGCGTGCGTGCGTGCGTGCGTGCGTGCGTGCGTGCGTGTGTGTGTGTGTGTGTGTGTGTGTGTGTGTGTCTGTAGGTCGCATAACTCATGAACCGATACACAGAAAAACACCAAATTTTAAACTTAAGCTTTATTCCAGCGTCTAATGAACTGATTAGATTTTGGGCTGAGTCGGAACATCTGGGGGGGTACTTTATAAGTGGTCATTTTTATATTTTATGGAATATATCTGTTTTTTGCATTTGGAGAAGAAAATTCTTTAAATAAAAGTTACTTCCAATATAATTTTTTTCTATACAAAATTTTCCTAAAATGGTCCGTATTCGAGAACTTTGACAAAATGTAAAAAAAATAATTTTTTATAAAAATTGTTCAAATAAAAGTTGTTTGTTATATAATTCTCTATAATTTTTATTCTATACATAATTTCTCTAAAATGGACCGTATTCGAGGTATTTGAGAAAATGTGTAAATTTCGAATTTTGAAGAAAACTCAAAAACGGATAAAGAAAAAAACATTAAATTTTAAACTTAAGGTTTATTTCGGCCTGACGTGAAATTATTAGATTTTGAACAAAGTCGGAACATCTGGGGGGGTACTTTATGGGAGTCCGTTTTTATATTTTATGGAATATATCTGTTATTTATGTTTGGAGAAGAAAATTGTTCAAATAAAAGTTACTTCTAATATTATTATCTATAATTTTTGTTTTATGTCAAAATTTCCTGAAATGGTCCGTATTCGAGAAATTTGACAAAATGTGCAAAATTCTGATTTTTATGAAAATTGCTGAACTAAAAGTTGTTTGCGATATCGATCTCTATAATTTTTGTTTATACATGATTTTTCTAAAATGGACCGTAATGGAAAAGTAGTAAATTTAAATTTTTCAGTATTTTCGTTTTCAATGAATATCTATAGAAAAATGTTTTTAAGTAGATGTATGTGGCCAATGTATATATTTAGTTTATCCTCTAAACATTTATAGAGATGCTGCAATAGGTTGTACAAAATAACCTGAAAAAGCCTATAATAACTAGATAGGAAAGTCATGTGTTGGACACATCAGATTTTTATATATATATATATATATATATATATATACTCGACCAGCGTATCATGTGACATCCAGCAAAAATTTTGACTTTGTGACATCCACCCTTTACAAAGACTTTAGGAAAAAAATAAAAATATGACTTCTTTTAATTTAAAAAATATTATCACTGAGCGAAAAATATTACAACCATACACATTTTAAAAAAATAAAACGTCCTATCGTTGTGAGATCCAAAGTATACACGGTATATATTTTTATTAACAACACTTTGTGACATCCAGAAAAACCTTGCATCTTGTGACATCCAGTTGTTACGTCACAGTATACCATTTCTACAAGAAAATTGCTATTCTTGTAACATCCAGCAAGTATATAAATACATTTTTGAATTGGGCACCTTATTACATCCTAAAAACTTAACACGTTTAACGCCAAAGCACACCCTCAAATTCTATGATTTTTATTGTTTTTTTATTCCAATGTGATTTCTTTAGTTGTTTTGATAAAATAATTTATTTCATTTTTAAATAATTACTGAGGCCGTTCCTATGGGGCCTCAGTATTGCATTCGTGCAGACGAAAACATTTTCTTACCCCCATTTTTTAAACTTTTTTTTATGTTTCCGATCATTCTGAGTCCGAAAATGCAAAAAAAATTTTTCGTCTGGTCGTCTGTGTATATGTATGCCGGCACAATAACTCTAGAACGAAAGTTCTAATTGACTTGCAGTTTTGATCTTCTTGAATAATTCTTTCTAACTTAGAACCCTATTGATTTTCAGAATTTTCGGTTCATTCTAACTACTTTAATATCACTTTTCTTAAAATCCGCTTATGCATTTCTTATGTGACAATTTTAGGAATTCCAATTATTTCTAACGTCAACATCCCTAACATTCTTTACATTTCATAAATTGCAAACATTCTCTAACGACCTGTCAAACAACAGCTGTTGATAGTAAAAGTGAAATTTCTAAGGCGGGTTGCGACCTTCATATTTGCAAATATAGCCATTTTGGAGGCATTTTTATTCAAAATTAGTCGCCAAGCCTACCAATTATGAAAAATATATAAGCAGTTTCTTAAAAATTACTTTTTTATGGGGGTGCTAACTTAAGCGTACTACTATTTCGCCCCTAGCCACAAAAACACATTCATCAAATTTATTGGCAACCCCAATAATTAACCGGCCATTTTATTTGGCCAAAATCAGAATAATGCTTGGTTATGCCTGTCAGGTATCAAGATGTCAACTATGATGTGGGAATGGCTCTTAAATGTAAAATTATTTAAAAATGTATGCTTCTTTTGATATTTGTTGCAAATAATTTGTAGTGTATCTCAATTAAGGCTTTCCATAAATAAATGTGCAGCAAGACAGATATTATAATGTTCTTATACAAAGCACTTTTTTATTAAACAGTGAGCACCATAAGTCTTACCCCCCCCCCTATCTAACTCATTACTGGAGTCTTGTTAGGAAAATCGCCGAGACACGTCGATTTTTGATTTCTACAATGTACATTTTTGTATGAATAGTTTACCCTTAATTTCATCCCTTACTGGAGAGGAGCAACCCTTTCGAAAAATTTAAATGGCATGGGGTGGTGAGTGATAGCTCATTTGAAAGAGGGTTTTATTCTCTATTCAACCGTGTAAAAAAAATTGAAATTTGCTTCATTAATTCTCGACTAATTGTTGTTTCAGAATAACGGAAATTAACGTAGCGCACTCATCCTTATAATTAAAATTCGGCACTGCATGATTTCGGTTTTGGTTCAGACGTGAAGTAAGACTTTTTGCCATTAGAAGGTCACTGTTAGTCTAGTTGCTTTCCTATTTTGTGAGGTTTTGTTATTTTTAAACATTAATAAATCAACACGTAATGTAGCAAATTTCAAAATTCACTGTATAAAAGAGAGGTAGGATATAATGCTGGTTTACATATTCAACCAGCGAATTGTAAATAATAATTAGTAAACTTCTTGAGGTTACTTTTGAATACATTTATTGTTTTTTTTTAATTTCTGTTGACAATCAATTGAATTTTTTACACCTTTAATAAAAATTATATTTTGGGAACTTTTAGTGATGGCTTGCCGTACATGAAAGTCAGATTGGCTTCTTGTATTATAATTGTGATATTGCGAATTATATTGAATTTTTTCTAATAGATCTGATGCGATGGTACTATGTCATTTTTATTTTATAAATAAATATCAGTCATGTACTGAATATAATTTTTAACTGAAAGCCAATTTATTTCTTTTAACATAGTTGCAATACTCATCCTTCTATCCTTTATGTCCTTTATTAGAATATAAATAGGCAAAATAAGGAGCCCAAATATTTTACATAAGCAGGCTTAAGACGTAAAAGGGCCAATTATTATTGGAAAAATTGCTCGAACAAGTTTTTAAACCCTAATCAAAAGGCGATATAGAATGGTTTTAAAAATCAAGGCTTGTGAAAATCATCACATGGATAAACCTAAGTAATGCCAATGTTTCACAAAACAAAAAATTCAACGTCCTAATACTACTATAGGCTTTCGGTCTTTCGTTCCAAGTTAAATCATTTCTCGTTTTTGTTACGCTACGAGTTTACCCTTGTGGGCTTCAGTCTCGATAAGGTGGGAACCACCATTTTAGCGTCTCTCGAATTTTCTTTTCAGTGTTTGATTGTGTATATTTTTAGATACACTGGCCCAAAATATATTATTAAACGAGCAATTTATGGTAGCCATTATTCACGCAGGGTGACGTTTGCGTGAGCCCTAGGCGAGTCTAATACTATACTTTGTACCATTATACCATTATGGTTTCTTTATTAAATAAAAGTTAAGTGTAGAATGGAAAGTTTTTATTAAACATAGGTAACTAACTGTTGTTTTTTCAACCTTTCAATTTTCCGATTTTCAGATTTTTTGAATTTCTGATTTTTCGATCTAGAAAATATCGTTATGAAAAGTATCGCCCAACTTTAGTTATCTACCGGAAATTGCCAGAATTAGAAGAGAGTGAATTATCATAATTCACTCTAGTGATATATGGGTACCATATGCTTTTAGTTAGGAGGTAGAATATTGATTTACTATTAAGTGGTCGTGGACAAATTAGTTTCCGATTGAAGTAACTTTTTAATCTTTTTTTTTGGTATGTGGATATTCCTTATAGAGATTGGGTACAGGTTCTCCCTTTTCCAATAGTTTGGGACTCCCGGATCATTAATGCAAGTCAGGCTTATCATTTACCCACTAAACGCACCCCTGAGCAGGTAATATCTTTTACTTGTCCGTTGGGACTACTTTATTAATTTGTTTGAGTATCTATCGACCTCGTATGGTTGATTCTCCGGTCTCAAGTGCATTAACACGGCCAGTTGGCGAACCTAAAGATAAATCCAGCGGTGTTTATTATTTTTGCGCACAGACTATTATACTAGAAACATTTTTAACTTCAAATTATTTTTGAGTTACACAAA